TAATACATATACATAATAGGAGAAGGATGGCAGAAAATAATGATGGTTGCTTCTAAATTGTAGATAATAGCATTTTTAGTTTTACCTTTATTCTTTTCTATATTTTCTAAACCTACTACAGTAACTATATATTACTTTTATAATTAAAAAAAAAGCACAATGTTGTTTTAAAACATTCACCAATATTCTCTGATATCCCAAGACAGCAAGAAAATTAGTTGAAATGACTGACGTATTCCAGGAATTTCTGTGTAGGTTAGTTACTGTAAATGTCAAGCTAAATACCAGGACTCAGAAAAGAATGGACCACAATGGTTACAATAATTTCACTGTATTAGTGACAGATGTCAAACATGACATTCCTTCTAGAAACATCCTGGGAGAGACATGGACCACAAAGAGTGAGCTGTTTACATGACATATTTGGAAGGAAAAACAGTGAGATGGTGAGGATGTGGGTGCTGAAGCCAAACAGACTCGGCTTGAATCCTAGTTAACACACTTGCTACCTGTATCACCTTGAGCGAGTTAATTAGTCTCCCTCAGATCAGTGTGGTTTTTTTTAGAATATAGGGATAATAACAATTCTCTCTCAGACTTTATGTTTGCATTAGGTATTATACAGTATACCAAGTACTTAGTATCGTGCAGGTGCATAAGTGATCAATAAATAGCAATTATTATTTTTTTGACCCTTCCAGGTAAGCCCACTTTCTAACAACAACAACAACAAAATCATTCTAATTCCTTGATGGGGATTCACCTCTGACCTTTTTATTGAATTTTTCTCCATTGTTTCAAGTTTCTAGTTTACCTACGTGGATGACATGTGTTAGCCCACCCTGTACCAAAAGTCTGTATAGAGCACTCTAACATGGGAATTGGCTCCATTTCAAACACCTGCGTGGGTGGACAACACAACACTGAAAGGGGACTGAAATGCGGGCGCTTTGTTGGAGTTACTTGCAGCCAATTAGAGAAATTTCCTACAGCAGAGAGGTTACCATTCGAAAGTGAGAGACACCTGATGAGCGTGTGTGCATCCGTGTGTGTGTGTTTTCTATCTTCCCAGCACAAATTCATGAAAGCTGTCTTAGCTAACCATTGAGGTTAGAAATTTTCATAAAAAATATTCCATCCACAAAATGGAACGGACGTAGTTACTATCAGGAATTCAAGATGGTTACAAAATAGAAGAGAACTCGTATCTGAGGACTCCCCGTCACACCATCTCCGACAGGAAAAGCAAAACTATCTTTGGCCCGACAAACCAGTGACCTTTATTTAATAATGTGAGGACATAAAAGCAGCTGCTTATTTGCTTATTTATGTAATTGGACGATTTGGAAGGGGGGCCTCTCTCATTATTGCAGCTTTTAAAGGCTCCCCTATAAACCATTTCAGTGCTCATTTTTAGAATCATTAATAAAAATTTAGCTGATAACAATCTAATTCCAGTTCTGATTTGGTTCAAAGACTCGTTTCAAAAAGGCATACTTTTACTTATGTAGATTTACCAGATGGCGCAATTTTAAACTCAGAGTTGCAGAACTAGAAGTCTCTTGGCAACATCAGGCTGTTTATCCTTTGTATACAAAGCATAGAAACCAAACTGCAACTCATGAGAGTCACCAAAAGAATATGAGTCTTAGCTGTGGTTTGGCTACATAATGAGTTGAGCAAACTCATGTCGTCAGACCCAAGTGTATAAGTGTTGTTACAACAAAAAGGTAGTCCATAGCAGCGCACAGGAAGACTTTTTGTTGCGTTAATATGTGATTTGCTAAGTAAACAGTATGTTGTGTTGATGTGTATCCTCGGTAAGAACATAAAAATTTGAACTTCGAAAGATTACAAAGAGTTAAAATAGAAACAAATATTTAGGTAAGAGTGCTGAGACTAAGTAGCACAATTGACTGATTTATTTATTTAGAGACAGGGTCTCGCTCTGTTTCCCAGGCTGGAGTACAGTGGTGCAATCATAGCTCACTGCAGCCTCGAACTCCTGGGCTCAAGTGATCCTCTCACCCCAGCCTCCTGAGTAGCTGGAACGACAGATGCGTGCCACAACACCTGCTAATTTTTTTTATTTTTTGTAGAGACGGGGTCTCCCCATATTGCCCAGGCTGGTCTCAAAGTCTTGGGCTCAAGCAATCCTCCTTCCTCGGGATTACAGGCGTACATCACCACCCCTGCCCCTAATTAAGTAGCATGATTTATAAGGCATCCATTTAGCATTCAATTGATAACAACTTCGTTCTTAAATTTCACTTTGTGTTTTCTTTTCCTTTGGAAGACCTAGTGACCAATGGATTAATCAATAAGCCCCAACCCCTAGAGAATCGAGAGCGGCAGAAGTCATCAGACATCCTGGAGGAACTAATTGTTCAAGGAATAATTCAAAGCCACAGCAAAGTATTTAGAAATGGAGAATCATATGATGTCATGGCAAGTAATTTTGTAATTAACATTAGCTTATAGTTCAAAGTAGCAATAGAATATGATTGATCGCATGTCGTTATTTCCAGCATCTTCGAGTTATAATACAAATAACAGCATGCATCTAAGTCAGATTTTTCTCCCATAAATTCCCCCACACCTCTGCACACAATCCTTCTCTATAGATTCTGGAATTTCTCTAATTGTTAATGATTAATCAATTCAATAGAACATATCTTAAGTTTTACTAAATTTGAAAAACAATAATCCCCATCAAATAACATGCCTTAATTTTTTTCAGCAATTTTTATTATTCATTACGTATGTAATAGGCCTTGTGCCAGGCATTGGGAATATTAAACTAAATTCTGATTTATTCAAGAAGGAAATAGGCCTGTGACAACACAGTTGTTGTTTGTTTGTTTCTGTGTTTTGAGACAGTCTTGCTCTGTCGTCCTGGGTAGAGTCTCTGGCATCATCATAGCCTCCTGGGCTCAAGCAATCCTCCTGCCTCAGTCTCCCAAGTAGCTGGGACTACGGATGTTCGCCACCATGCGCAGCTAATTTTTCTGTGTTTAGTAGAGACGGGGTCTCACTCTTGCTCAGGCTGGTCTCAAACTCCTGACCTCAAGTAATCCTCCCACCTCGGCCTCCCAGAGTGCTAGGATTACAGGCGTAAGCCACCACTCCCGACCATCACAGTGTTTCAGATGATGGATATGCTAATTACCTTGATTTGATCATTACATAATGTATAAATGTATTGAAACATCATACTGTATCCTATATATATGGGCAATTATGTTTCAATTAAAAATAAAATAAAATTTAAAAAAAAGAAAATAGGCCTAAATGCCAAAGCTAAAACAGATATGCTTATACATTTATACATATACACACCCTAAAAGCAAACATGAGGAAATAAATAAAATTCTAGAGATTGTTATACTACTAATTCTTTTTGTTAATTCATCCTGACTACTCTGTCATTGTTTTTCTTTAGTGTGAGTGATATTTTTACCCTGATTTTAACTGGTTTGGCTGAAGTCTTGAGTTCTAAATTTTTAAATAAATTCTCTATAAACCTGTGAAGAAGATAGCAGGTTTTGTCATTGTTGCGTGTCGTCGTTATTTTGTTTGTTGCTTGTTTGGTTTTTACTTTTAAAGCCAATGCTCTCAGGCACCACCATTTGTCCTTGAAGCATAGGTAGAAGAGAGAAGGTTAAAAAAAGGAATAACAAAGAAAAGAAGCTGGAGGAAAAATGAATGGAAAAGAAAAGAAAGAAACAGAAATGGTGGAAATAGAGAACACAAATCCAAGGCTCCTTACTGTTTGTCTATCCCTGTGTTGCAGGGAAAACAGTCCATTGAGAATAAAAAGATGCATTATTTTAAATGAAGTTTTCCACCAAGCAAAGTCACTTCGTGTTTGAATAAAGTTAATTTCCTTCTCCGTGTGTAGGGGATGTTGAGAACTCATGAATAAAAGCTAAAGTGGCATTTTCTTTTGAAAAAGGAAAATAAGTCTTGCAGAAAGTTTTTGGGAGATTTTCAAACCTTATGAATATTACCAGGCTGCCAATAATAAGAGGATGTGGGGGGAAGAGGAAGGTAAAAATGGATCACATAATGGAAAAGATAATGCCAACGTAATAACAGTCTACATTCACACAATGCTATCTGTGATATAAGGCATTTTGGAATACCTTATCTTATCTGGAAGTACTAGAAGAAGGATGGGTCTTTTTAATGTCGAGAGTGTGTAGAGTTGTTTTTCTAGCTGTAAGTGAGTCTCTGGGAGTCAGAAAAAAGAAGGCATGTCAAAAAAAGAAAAGATAGAAGAGTAGTCCAAGTGAAGAGAATAGATTTTGAAAGCATTCTGTAGTTAAGCAATGCCTTCTTAAGGGAAGTGCTTTAGACACATCTTGGTGTTAACACCGGTGGGAATAACATTAAAACATTTCTCAGTGATTCAATTGCCAGAGATGAATGAGTTCTGACTTAGACCTTGCAAAGGAGCAGACAAGGTTAATTAATATAAGCTGCCTTGTGAAAGAAATGTATCTATTAAAAAAATGAAATCTATGGGCTTGACTTTGAATGACATGATTAAGTAAACCAAAGATGAAGACGTTCATATTGTACAGACATGGAATAGTTGTTAGAAGCAGAGTTGGATCATTCACAAAAGGATTTAAATATGACAGGCTGCAAGAATAACACAATTTCTTTTGTTTGTTTTGGTGTTAGGCCACGATATCTCAACAAAGGCCAGGCTTGCAACAGGCCAGAGCAGCAACACACAGAACTTTGTTTTATTGCCCAACGCAGTAGTCCTTGACCTGGCTGTACGCTGGAGTCACCTAGGGAGCTTTCAAAAATCCCAGTGCCTGAGTCCCACCTCGGGCCACTGCCAGGGCATGGAGCTTGGCTTTCACGCTCTCAAAAGCTCCCAAGTGACTCCCATGGGCAGCCCAGGCTGAGACCCACTGCCCTACAGTTTCAACAAATCTGTATACAAAGCTCTTAAATTCATTACCAAGCTGAAAAAACGTACAGCTTTTGAAATCATAGTCCATTCCCCATTCATTGTGAAAGAGAATTCTAAAATATTCCTGAAAGTGTAATATTTCAGGAATAAGGAGTCAAATTACACCCAGGAAGCCTATGGAAATGAAGAAGAGATGCAGTTGCTCAGTGTCACAGATGAAGCCTCTTTTAATTCAGATGTAGCTGAGAATATATATGTGTCAGACACCAGGTGTCTTGCCTATCTGGGGAAAAGTTACAAGGCCAATGTAAAAAGATGAGAATGAGTATGGAAGGACTGAGAGGGGAGCCATGTTAAGAATGCAACTGTGATATTTCGAACTATCTAACACTTTATCTAAAAAAAAAAAGACCAGATATGATAAAATTGGCTAAGAAACAAACCCAGGAGTCAAGGGAAACACAAAGGGGATGGTCATAAAAAGGATGTTGATGTCAGCAGTTACCTCACGGTGGTGAATCTGGTTAGACATGGAAATACTATTTCTTCATTGCTCTGCAGAAAAAAAGTCTCTTAAATAAAAATTATGAGGAAAATAGAATAAATGTGAGACTACTTCAAAAATCAGACTTCTTATGTGGACCAACAGTATACTTAAATACAAGGGAATCTTAGACGTCGATCTGGCCCCTTCTTGGCCAGGTCATTGTCTCTAATTGAGTTATTTCAGTGGAGTGGAAGAAAGGATGCTGGGAAGTGAGGGTCCTCCACCATCTTCTGAATCAGGGGCATCCCCTGTGAGCCAGTCTTGCCCTGGAGGTCCAGGGGAGGATCTGTGTTCACCATGGGGCCCTCTTTTGTCTTTTTGTCTTTATACTTGTCGCATGCTTGCTGGCGAGCACTACAGCGCTTCTACAGTGCTCTCTGGATACCCGGTTTTCAGGAATGTTCATACTAATATATTTTGTGTTTACTAAGAGTTAAAAAGGTATGTAAGAAATATAATATTAAGAAGCTAAATATAAGATTAAGTGAATCTTTCAATGTAGTTTAAAATATTCTAATGAGACTTAGGTGACTATATTATAAATGTGCATTGTTTTTTGGTTTTTTTTAGGGTTGTGAGAAGGAGCGCTCGGTTGCCTTGTTTTTGTTTTTGTTTTTTTATTGTTGTTGTTGTCGAGACAGAGATTCACTCCATTGCCCTGGGTAGAGTGCAGTGGCATCATTGTAGCTCACTGCAACCTCCAACTCCTGGGCCCAAGTGATCCCTCTGCCTCAGCCTCCCAGGTAGCTGAGACTACAGGTGCGCACCACAATGCCTGGCTGGGGTTTTTTTTCCTTTCCTTTTGGTAGAAAGGGGTCTCACTCTTGCTCAGGCTGGTCTCGAACTCCTGAGCTCAAGTAATCCTCCCACCTCGGCCTCCCAGAGTGCTAGGATAACAGGTGTGAGCCACCGCGCCCGGCCTGTGAATACTCTTTATGTACCCATGTCAATATGCATATGGATTGGTGTGGACCACTGTAGAGAGATGTGATGGGCTCTCATTTATCCACAGAGGTTATCATTGAGTTTGTCTTTTATCCCCAACTCATTTCTCCCTGCTTGTTAGCATGTCCTGGGTCTCCCTACACGAAGCTCTATGAATTCTCTGTTGACTCCTCCTGTGTCTGGTCAAAGTTTATTCCCTTCTCTGTGCAACTTTTGTACTTGGTAACCTTCAATGTAGTCAGGGAGTTTGTTCACATCGCATCAGAGCCTCTAACATTATTTGCTGAACCTCATGTGGAGGTTTTAAGGAAGAGGAAGTTGACTGGGTTAGGACTAAATAATGTCAGTTAGTGATCAGAGTGACCGTCCCCAGGAGGTCTAACCTTGACAAAACAGGAATGACCAGATCTCTTACAGGAAGCTTTGTCCTTTTCTATGCACAAGACTCCCTTAAGGGAAACAAAACCAAGGTTCACCCATAGATCGATAGTTAAGAAAGCTTTGAGGAACACACAGTGGATGTAAGAAGTAACATATACAAGTTAGATTGGCTAGAAACAAAACTCAAATCTTATCTTGGCATCTTTGGACTTGGCAGTCCTCTAATAGCATTCTTTAAGAAAATAACTGAACTGGTAACTTTTATAGGCTTTAAGGTTGATTTCTTTTCTTTCCCTTCCTTTCCTTTCCTTTTTTTTTTTAGTTTCTATTGGTAGCATCTCTCTAAGCATAATATGATCATTGTTATCATTTTCAAGTGCCAACATTTGATAATAATGACTTCATAAAATTCAGTGGTAAAGAACCCAGATAACATGCTATGCATCTTTCAATTCCTTTACTTAAAATGTTGAATGCAAGAAAGGACAGGGCGCAAGGGGGAGGAACAACATGATATCACAGGCATCATTTTGTCATTAAGCCACAGGAAGAGGCCATCCAAACTGGAAAACCAAAGTTCTGTGAGAACTACTGATCTCATCATTTTCGTCAAGGTTCAGACTCCTGTGTAAAGAAGACCCAGCTTTTCTTTACTGGATCTTGGATTACTACTTCCATTTTCTCTTAGCCCTCTGCAAGCAAACATTCCTTAAAAAACCATTTTCATACTAATTTCACAGTATGTCTAGTTGAGCCACCATAGCAAGTATGTCCCTCTCTTCAGCAGATGGCTTTTGCCAGCAGGAAGCCTAAGAGCCAATTGTCATAAAAATAATACAAATGGTGGGGGAAGGATGGCTTGCTTTGAGGAACATTCCACTGTTTTCACGTGGTGAAAAACTTCCCACTGCATAAAACTGTCTGATGGCTCTAACGAGCCAAAATGTCAATAAATGTTTTCCCTTCAGAAGATTTTCCTAGAAGCACAGATTTCGAGGCTGAAGGAAGCTTAGCAGTCCTCAGTCCTGTCACTGTTTCAGGAAAAGAGGCGCCTCAGCTGCCACACTGGGTATTAGTGGTGGCCCCAGGGCTGGCTCTCAGGCCTCCTGCTGGCTGGCCTGGGTGTGACAATACCGCATCCTGGTGATGATTTTGTGTGCTGTCATTGAAAAAGTCACTGCTTTTACTGAATGAAAAGTAGTTCCTGTTTACTGAGTGGCTACTATATACTTTCCTTTTCTTTCTTCCTTCCCTCCCTCCTCCACCCCCAATCCTGTGAAATAAGTATTATTAAACCTATTTTTACAAATGAGGAAACTGAAACCACCATTTACAAATCAATAAAGGGGTGCAAGATGAGAAAGAACTGTGGCAAGGACCTAAACTTTGCAAGGGCATGGGCATAGCTAAAAATAACGACAATAACCAGCCACTGTCCCCCTGGCTTTCTTCTCTGTAATTGCTATTCAGGAGTCACATAGCTCATGGTCATAAAGATTCTTAACTTTCCCCATCCATAACATCACCCTTGTGAAACCTAAGGCTGGTTTTTGAGATATCGTCCAGGCCCTGTGTTAGGTAGAATGGCTGACCCACCCAGACCAGTGGCCCATACCGAGGAATTGACTCAACCCCCACCCAGGAACCAACTCAGCAAAAAAGACAATTTCTATACCACCATGTTTTCACCCTAAACCCAGCCAGTTAGCCAACCCAATTGCCTCACCTTTTTCCTCCCAAACTATCTTTGAAAACTCTTTCTCCCAAATTCTCAGGGAGATGGATTTGAGAACTTCCTCCCATCTCCTCACATGGTACCCGTGGTATTAAACTCTTTGCAGTAACCCCTGCTGTCTCAGTGCATTGGCTGCTTCTTGAGCACTGGGCAACGAACCTGCTTGGGCTGTGACAAAACCGTGGCTTGCAGAGTTTAGGGACTCACGGAAAGTCAGTCCATAGCCAAGCCAGGATCCCAACCCGGGTCTGTCTGAGTTCTGATCTCGGGTGTCTTTTTCTACTAAACTAAACTGCCTCTCCTAGTTTGATTTATTTTCTCAGTATCTACAACATTATAGTCTGAAGAGACAGACTTTTAGAAATTATGATGAATATTAATAGCTCCATTGTCTTTAAAAACATCTTTAGAGAAATTATCTAGAACAATATTCAGTTCATTTTATCATGAAGCCCTGCAGTTCATTAAACCTCCTGCAAACCCAGTTGTAATAAATCTGTGTATAGTGACCTAGAGAGATGTTCATATTAAATTAATTGGAGAAAGCAAATTGCAGAGCAGTGTGTATGGTATAATTCCATTTAGGTTCTGTTTAACATTATAGATGTCCCAAATGCATATTAAGTATATAAATACTTGTGCGTAGAGAGTATCTGGAAAGACACACTCCAAACTGTTTAAAAAGGTTCGTACTAAGAAGTAGGATTGGGGGCCAGGTGGTTAAATACAGGATTAGGAGATTATTTATGTATCATTTTAATTTTTCATTTTAATGTACATTATAAAACACTAATTTTAAAAAGGAAAACATAAATTAAAACTTTTCTTTATAGGCCCTTTACAGTAATTTTACTTTTCTTGTAACTAGAAATTATAATTAGAAAGTCATTATTATTGCTTCAAACTGTCAAAAGGGCAGTTGATCCCATGAAATGGGATTTTTTTTCTGGTGTCATGAAAATATTTGTAAAATTCCAGCAGGAAAGGCCAGTACAGAGCTATTGCACAGTAATTATTAATTATCTCTTCCCACCACAAAACCAAAAGTAGCGAAAACTAATCTCTGTTCCAAATGAAAGTAATTTGTAGCTCCTTGAATATTATAAAATCATCAGGTCGAACTTTTCACCTTGAACTGCAGCTTCATCTCTCATTCCTTATCTTTTTCCACCTTGTATTCCTTCTCAAGATTTTTTTATTCTTAGAAGTCTTCTTCTATTTAGTTTCAGCACACCTTGCATTCTCAGCACCTTTTTTGTAGTAGCCTGGTGTTTTAAAGGCATCTAAGAGATTTTATCTTTACGAATTAATTCTGTTGTTATTATTAATAGCTTTCACATTGTTGTTGTTTTTTTAATTTGCCTCTGGAAAGTTTAGCTTTTTAGGATTTACCTTTTCTTTTCATTTTTTTTTTTTTTGAGACAGAGTCTCGCTCCATTGCCCGGGGTAGAGTGCTGTGGCGTCATCACAGCTCTCAGCAACATCAAATGCCTGGGCTCAAGCCATCCTCCTGCTTCAGCCTCCTGAGTAGCTGGGACTCTAAGCGTGCACCACCAAGCCCAGCCAATTTTTCTATTTTTTGTAGAGGTTTCGCTCTTGCTCAGGCTGGTCTCAAACTCCTGACGTCAAACGATCCTCCTTCCTGGGCCTCCCAGAGTGCTAGGATTACAGGCGTGAGCCACCGCGCTCAGCCTAGGATTTACATTTTAAACTGTGTTTATTCTAACTCTCCTGCCTTTCTCCTCTGTTAACGAATATGGTTGTTTTTCCTTAAAAAGTGTGTTCTTCCAGGTGAACATAACTGAGAAGCCGCTGAGAAAGCCACCGGCCAGGCTGAAAAAACTCAAGATCAAAAAGGAAGTGCAGGATTTCACAATGAAGGACATCGAGGAGAGGATGCAGGCAGCAGAGGAGCGCAGGAAGGTACTCAGCGCTCAGGCGCTCTGGGCCTGAGGAGTTCGCTGCACACTAAGACGAGCTCATGTCCGTATTTTGCTGATCTGAGTGCTTCTTATGCTATATGTTTAGTGTTCTTTAAAATTTCCCTTGTGAAGGAATAAAGCAATATCTTGCACTTGGTTGACAGTTACAATTTCATCCATATACCCTAAGTAAGCAACATCCAATTCTGAAAATCAAGTGAAGTATGGTGTTTTCTTCAAATAGAAAAAGGAGCTTAATTGAGTTTAGGGGCAGGAGGAGAGGCAGGGTGGGGGTGTGGTGCTAAGCTGACAAGAGGCCCTGCAGGGCAGCAGACAACAACTCCTTTGGCATTTGCACCTGGGGCTCCCAGAACCCTCTACCAGCCGTTCTGCCTGGACCCAGCCTTCGCAGTGTGGGTCCAGCAGCCTTCGCTTCCCAACTCTCTAGTTGGCCTCTCGGAGCAAGGGTCAGACTCCAGGCTCTGTGAGGTCAGGCCCTGCGTCTGCCTTCTTCGACAGGAGTTTCTCAAGAAGCTTTTGTTACATGACTGATAATGAAATACAGAAAGCCATAAATGTTCATTAACAAGCAATCTTAATAAGAATTTGTAGAAAGTTATTTGAGCTCTTTTTCATTCTTTAATCCTGCTTTTTTAGACTAAAGAAGACAAAATAAGAAAAAGGCTACAGAGCGACCGACTTTTGCCCTCAGCTGGTCATTCGGTTTCAGCCCAGTTGAGCGAGGCTGAGGTTCTGTTTGCCAAAGGACTTCAAACGGTGAGTCCTGCTGGGTTTGAACCTTCGGACCTGCAGGGAGGAAAGCCATTGAAGAGGAAGAACGGTACAAGTGATGCAAGTTCGATTGATGGAAACTACAATCACGAAAGCACTGTGGTTGTGGAGTCAGACATGTCCTACAACCAAGCGGATGACATATTCTAACAAGCCATTTTTTGTGAGTTTCATAAGTAGGCATCCATTCTCCTGGGTTGTGACCTTGTAAGTATGTGTCATGTTCTCTGACTGCCTGACCTCGCTCTATTGGGATTTGGAATGATTATGTGAGCTGAAGGTTAGTTGAGTAAATTAAATGGTCATGCTAGCTAAATAAAAGGGAGGGAGATTTGACCAGTTTAGATGTTATGAGATTGGTATTCTTCTTCATGTGCTTTAAACATTGTGACAGTGTCTTTATTTTAGGAATATTTTCAGCTTACATTAATACGTCTGTGCCAAATGAAATCCTTCCTTTTCACTCCTGTCCTGTGGCTGTGTCCCCACCCCACCCTCATTGGTCCTTTAAGACAAATCGCAGGGATTTGTATTATGTTCATGATCTGTATGCTTCTTACGCTGTACAGCTAGAGTTTTTTTTTTTTTTTTAATTTTCTTGGTGTTACAAAGGAATAAAGCAATATCTTTGAGTTGGTTGAATTGACCAGTTTCATCAAATAGTTTAAGTAAGCAATACCCAGTTCTCAGAATTATATAAAGTATGGAGTTTTGGTCACATGAAAACAGAAAAACTTCAATTGGAGCTGGGATGGAAGGAAGTTGGGGAGACGGGGGATACGCCGAGAGTCGGCCCTGCTGCCTGTGTCTCTCTTCCCTGCAGGCGTCTGAGCTGAGGAGTTTGCTGGCCCTCATCTTATTGGAATTATTGGAATTACACCTTGGTTCTTCCTTCCCTTGCCACCCACATTCAGTCGGTTATCAGGTCTCATGGGGTTACATTCTAAAGGTCTCTTGCATCCATCTTCATACTTTTCTTCTGTCACTACCTAGTTTAGACCACTCCGCCATCGTTCAACTGGGTTACTGCAACAGTTTTCTCAGTCTTCATACAGTAGTCATCTGTTGAAAACCCTTTGCTGGCCCCCTTTTGTTGTCAAGATCAAGTCCAGACTGCTTGGTAAGGGTCTCAGCTTTTATAATTCACCCAAACTGAACCTATTCCAGTTCCTCAAACTCAACACACTCTTTCTAGCCTCTGGGTCTTTGCACATGCTGTTCCCTCTTTCCCTCTCCTCTTCTTACTCTTTGACTTGAAGAATGTCTTCTTGTTTTTCATGTCTCAACTCAGACGTCACTTTCTCTAAGCCCCCCAGTTCATGTTGGTGCCCCTCTCTCAGAGTGACCTTTTGCAGCCTGGACTGCTCGTCTTTGCATTTCTCACCCTGAGTAGGAGCTACCTGATACGTTTCCATCTTTACTGTTGGATATTTTCAGGTCCCGCAGGGCAAGGGGTGGGTCTGCTGTGATCATGGTTGCATTTTTTGTACCTCTGCAAGCGAAATGCACATACTAAGTGCTGTGTGAATATTGCTTTAGTGGGTGCATCAATATGCCTGTATATCCTCCAGAAGCAGGAGGACAGCCCCAGGAGATGGCTTGTTTTCCTGGGAACCGGTGGCTGACAGCAGAGCAGATTTGACTTGAGGGCCACTCAGCATCTCCTGTTTATACGTTCCCTGTGCATATGGACACCTTGTGTTCCCATAGCCTGTAGGACTTCAGACTCTTATAGCCAATAAGGTATGATGATGGAGATGGAGAGAGTAGACGTCTTCTTCAAAACTCATTGCAGAACCAGATTTTAGAGTCAGAATCTACTTCTAACAGCGTGACTGTGGAAAGGCATGCAGGTTCTCTGTGTCCCAGTCTCTTTATGTGTTAATTTGGAATAGCCACCATCACAGAGTTGTAGCAAATGAAATAATGTGTTTAAAATACTGTGTAAACTAGAATATGCCACAGTGTTTATAGCATATTAGTTATATAAAGTCCCATGTAAGCAATATGATGCTTTTCATCTATCCCAAGGTTTTTCTATGGAAGTGTTCCCATGGTGGCATGTGCCAACCTTATAAAATACTAGAATAGCTAGAATAATTGTACAAGGACACGTTAGAAAAAGATTTGGGTCTATGGCCATACCACCCTGAACGTGCCCAACCTCGTCTGATCTCAGAAGCTAAGCAGAGTTGGGCCTGGTTAGTACTTGGATGAGAGAAAACGATTTGGGTATCATTCATATCTCTGTAAATAATAAAATTTAAATGACTACAAAATACTTTTGACACAAATTTATATTGTGAATTAAACTCCCAAATTTGATAAATGCTGACATAATACTTTCTCTTGAAATCTTATGCTCTCGCCTATGTTATCTATAGGAGCTTGGATGACATGTTTGTTGAGTGAAAATATATATAGTATAAATGTGAACATTATCATTGATAACCTTGGCTTCAAAACCTCTATGTATACACAGTTAAATATGAAAAAGATTAATACATCCTAAATGATAATCTGTGTATTTTCTTAGTGATGCCACCCACGTTAATAGGATGGGAAGAGAAACAATTAGAATGTAGGGTGCCTGCATACCTAAAGTTCTAGGTACATTACTGCTCACAAAAACCAGCTCGGGGTTTGGGGGCGAGGAACCAGAGACTCAGAGACTCTGAACAACTTCCCACGATCTCAGAGCCACAACCACCAACCAGGGACGAAGCTTGTATTTGAGTCCTGCTCTGCCTCCAAAGTGCTATCAACTCCATCCCTGAAACATGTTTTAAAAACTTCAAATGGAAATGAGACTTTCCCCATGATCATCTTTCTTCCTTTTTTTCTTTCTCTTTAAAGGATGATTTGTACTAACGAGTAATCAAAAAGAAAAACTGAGATTTCTAAAACATAGACTCTGGGGTAATGTTAATTTTATGTATTGAAATAGCATAATTGGTTTTCTCATTCTTAAAACACAAAATTTTGAACAACCACCAGGGCATTTCAACTAAAATCAAACCACAATCGTCAGGAAGATACGGGCCAGGGAACACATGATTAGATAAGTGTCTCTATAATCATCTTAATTGGTGGCCAACTGACAAATGCCTGTGCAGTTATTTTTTTGTGAAAAATGACCTTGCTTTTTTACTTTGATATTTAATAATACTCTAATTTTAGGGGGAAAAAAACCTCATGGATGATTCATATTTAAGGTAATATATTTTAAATAATATTTAAGAGGTGTATTTTAAAATCTTTCAGATATATTTAAAATAATACATGTTGTAAGATATTTATGTTTGTAAAAGTAATTTTGTAATCACAGGAACAAAAACAGAATTTATCACAGAGTGTTGCTATAGTGACTACCAGTAATTTATGACTGTGCCTATTTCTGTGTTTGTTGTTCCATTATCAGTAAATAGTTAGTATTTGAAGAAGTAATTGTACAGTAAATACTGCATTCTAAAGATATGTAATGCTAAACTGTGTCAGAATATAGATCACCTTCACACTCGCATAATCTGAGCACGAGAAACCTTTGTATAGTGCATGGTGGAGTCTATGTCTCAGGCAGGTCAGTAAAGGCACTATTTTAAAATGAACTGTGGGAGATGACAGTTATGTTCTCTCTGTGTCACCTGTATTTGTCTTTTAATTACATGAGTAATGTGTAATAGGAAATACTAAAAACTGTAAGAAGCAAAAAGCACCAGGAATCCAATACTTTCCCTTCCCCTTAAAATAACTGCTGGCAACATTTTGTTACATGTACTTCAATACTTTTTCCTTACAAAATGGACTCATCCCATATAAACTATTTTGCACCTTGCGTTTTTCTTTCCACAGTAGAATATCTTTCCATGTAAATAAATCTCCTTCCATAGTATCATTCTTGATGTAACATTTAGTTTCCCTATTGTGTTTCTAAGGGTTCCCATAGATAACGACAGCCAAAACATGTGTTTCCATTTCTGTTTTGAGAAGGTTGATAAGTAAATATAATTGAACATTTCTCCATCAAAGTAGAGTAATCTAAACACCTTGAAGAGCGGAAGCTGAATGCTTGCCTTGCCTACCATTTTCCATTGCTTTTATTCTTGGTCACTACTTTCCGATGAAAGACTTCGAGTGCAAACCAACAATGAAGGTTGGATGCAACCAGTTTTGAAAATCCACCTCCAGACTCTTCTCCTGTTCAGGAAGTTAATTCATCTCATGACAGTTTTTATTCAGCACACGGAGATCTCAAGTATACTTCAAAAGTTCACGTGATAGAAAGAAAAAAAAGAATGACTATTATATCCTTCTATCTGAGTTGGTTTTTCATTGATAAGAATAAAAACTAGCCACGTGTGCAAAATGTTACTGGCAGAGAAGTGTTTCCAGGTTAGGGTCTGAAACCTTTTCTCTTGTATTTAGAAACAAGAAATTATTCATAAAATCAAGTGATCAGCTATGTTAAGTGCAAAATGCAATCATCCTAGTAATTTCTAGTAATTAATACATAAATTTCCTCTCTATGCTAATAGAATTCAATCCCTAACCCAAAGACAGTGTATCCTGGAAAAATGTATATGACAAAAATTCAGGCTTTCTCCTGCTTAATTTCAAATAAACAGCAGTGCTCATTTGTTAAATGGGAGAAAGACTATACCGAGGATTAACACATAACCAACCTCCGTTTACCAACTTGCTGGATTGGCCTATGCCAATAGTTCTCAGAGTGTGATCCCTGTGATCCCTAGGAGCATCCACATCACCCGGGAACTTGTTATAAATGCACCTTCTCAGATTCCACCCTAGACCTTCTGTACCAGATCGTGGGCCCAGTGGTTTGGGTTTTAACAAGCCCTCCAGGTGATTTTGATGCATATGCAAGTTTGCTCCGTGCTTGCTGTTCCCTCTGTAAACACGCTGAGCAATGCCCACAATAAGATGCACATTCCAGACTAGAAGGCATCTTTCCAGCATGCCCAAAAGTCCCCGTTCCCAAGAGTCAAGTTGAACATTTACCGAGCCACCTATGTTTATCCTAAGACTTCTCAGTGCTACTTGTGCCGGCTATTATATTTAATTTTGTATAACTTTTTAAAAAAATGTGGTTGGAAAAGGAATAGACAAGTCTGTAAAAAAACAACTCTTCG